GGTGGGTGGGGGGAGCTTATTCATAAATTCCGCTTATCCTCAAACAGGAACAAGTGAAAGCAAATTAAGCTCGCTGTCTGGTCTTGCCACACACACACACACACACACACACACACACGCACACACTCACTGCGCCGATTTCAACATTTTCCAAAAATCTAAATACTTTTACATTCACTTCCTACACAGGAACTAAAAATGAAGCTTCCAGAAGGAGAAAATCTTGTGGAACAATTGAAACGACTAGGTCTGAACATGATTCGTGCACAGTATCTAGACATTGAACCGGAATTGGCACCTCTGCTAACCAAAACCACATCTGGTCCCACAGAGGACCAGTCAGAAGCAGCACAGCAAAGCGCAACTCTGAAGGCTCCGGATACTGAGCCACATTCACCCACCGCTGATGGGCTACTGGAAGCAGTGGAGAATAAATTGGCCCAAATTGAAATCCCCTCAGCGAAATCGGAAGATCAAACCAGCGTGGAACCGCTGCCGGTAAACTTAAATCTACCTCCATCCGGTCTGACAGCTCTGCTCGAACCAGATGCAGCTGTAAAATTGATCGGCACTGCTCAGATGGCACTTTGTGCCCTAACAGGTGATTTGACCCGGTTCGAATCTCGCCTATCCGGTGTGAGTTCCCATTCGAAACCGTTGTGTGATGCGGAACACACGTTGATCGCACAGACCAGCACTTTGGAAACGGATGTGGATCGGAATCTTCGCTGGAACGAGCGTCCCACTCCAACAATATGTCAAACACGTTTGGATGTCATACAAGTGAGTTATGTTGGTTGTGCGGTAGACCAGATAAGTTTCACGACTATGGTGCAACTCATATCGTTCTTGCTGTCTCTCTGGCGCTGATTATTTGGTTCGAGTCGGTTCCGAATTTTCAACTTTAAAACCAAATTCTATAGTTATTGACTGTCCATGTTGAAGACAGGACGCATTTCTAATGCGCTTGGAACTTGTATGTGCATTGAACCTTGAATCTTTGAGTCCCCACTGTATTGGGGGAATATTTTTGCAGTCTGATTAGATCATTTGTTGTTTTGCGTAGTTGTGATCTCTGTGTGCGCATCGTATGCTTGACTCTCGATCACCCGTTGAAACGTATCCCCAGAAAGGGGATGGGAGGTCGGGAACTCACTCAAAAAGTACTTTTGTTTGTTTTCGGAGAAGTGAGTTCATTCAGACTGGACGGGGTTTAGACAGACTCGGTCAAATCGGTGACGCTTGACGGCCGAAACACCAATCATCTTGTGAGGTTCCATAGAGTGCGATTGGTTGGATTCACTTGAAGTTGAAAAGGTATAGTAACAGTTAAGAACTTACAAGGGAAAAAGTATTCAACAGTTTGTTTCATAATTGGTCTCCGATGTTTCATGACGGATCACTTGTCGGCAATCCGGCCATGGGTACTTGACTGCTTGCACAAATTGTTTTTGAGCGCACAGAGGGGAGTTGTGAAGACGAATACGAACTGTCTCCACTGTGGCTAAAATGCAAAACCGCATGTGTCTAGGTCGCCCCGTTTTAACTCTGAACACTGGCCGGAACACTTCGGTCACATTTACAGTGTGATTAGTGTCGACACGGAGACACACGACCACACTTGTTATTGCATTAATTACCCCATATCTCAGCCATGTAGATTGATGCGCGTAACTAAAGGGAACAAAATTTACGATACACGGAATGGAAAACTTAGCATCTAATCCCATTTCACCATATTAAATACGACATGTAATGGAAATTCGTTCCTTTCATTCATCAACTCCCAAAAACTGAATACTGAGTACAAAGTAATTTAACTGTACCCCGTACCTTTTTCGATAAACGAATACTTCATCGAAATCTGCTAGGATGGATTTGCCTCCCCTTAAGAAAGACCTGCTGGTCCACATTGCTTCAGAGACACAAATCAAAGATTTGCGAACAAAGTACACATTCGTGGTACAAGTATATGATTGACCTGACAAAAGATTACTGGCGCGTGGCACCAACCATGAAACCATCCACGGGAAATCTAGTTTGGTCATTTATCATTATTAACTATTGCAAATAAAGAGATAAATATATAATGACCCGTAGCGATTGACAAATTGTGGCTATGTAACACGAACGTACTACGGGCTCGCGCAGCCCATCGGAGTGAACAGATCTGCGCGACAGGATATCCCTCGGCTCGTATCCTCACAGCTCGAGATGATACAAGGCTTTGTAGGTGACGGACGACGGCGCAAAAGCGACGGCAGAACGGCGATACATCCGGGACGCGAATTGGCGAGGAAACACTGACAGACAGGTCCTCCGTGGGTCGTGGTTAAAGATAAATCTGCAAGGCAAAGCGAATAAAACGTCATGGCTCAGTGAGATACAAACACTCAGGATATCATATTACTGGTGCGGTTATCAAGCATTAAAGCTACTCAGGTTCATCTAAAGTTTAAAAAAAAACATTTCGCAAAATATCAACTTCTACTGGATTGGTCAAAACATGCTATATATGCAACCCTCTCTTCCCCAAAGGTTAGTTATTATTATTATTACTGTTTTTATGTCAGATTATCTATGTGCTCATGATTTTGGATACGCAACTTACAGATGACCGGGTTAGTCGGAAATATTGTTCATTACTGGTGTCCATTTTTCCACTCATTCTCCCTTCGTCTACAACTTCATGCCCTGACCGAAAATCCGTGCATTTCACTCTATCCAGGCTCTAATTTCTCGACTGGCCGACTGTCGGTCACTGCACAGGCAAACCGGAAAGAAATTCCTTCAAACTATCACACTCACTGTGATGGCATTTACCAAACCGTCTCTGTCGGAATTGCCAGAACACATTTCTGATGCAAGCAGTGAGACAGATACCACGGAGGCGTGTGACTTGCGAATTGATCAGGTCCTCGCTAATGCACTACATACGGGTCCGATTCATTTGGAGGTGGAAGCCTCGCTGAAGCGGATCGCCAATCGATTAGACCAGGCGTTCACGCAAACCGGGGATCTCGGACGAGTCTTGCAAACCGAGGAACAGACCAGAGGAGAAGCGTTGGAATGGATGGAATCCGCGGTTAAACGATTGGAAACATTGCAAAATGAGTACAATGCACAGACACCCAGTAAAACAGAGGCAGAATCAAGACTGGAACAATTGCAGGTAGGCTAAATGATGATTTAGTGACTTGATAAAATAACTGTTTGACATGGGATGACATACAAGTATTGACCAAACTCATGCAACACCCTGACTTTCATCACATATGTTCCTCCGAATGCTTAGTTTTTTCAGCCTCATTGAATAGGATATTGTCCCACATCAGACGCAACATAGCTGTAAAAAATATTAACTTATTTCTATGCTCCTATTAGCCGCATGTCATCAGAATGTACGATTTTTCGATTTTGACGACGGTTGCGGGTGCATCAGTTGTAAAATAACAAAGCCACAGTAGAAAACATAACTCGAATTTATTTATCGAAATGATTCATTGACTCCATACAGGTACTGTACTTTCAACTCGTCCATGTTATATTTACTTTTCTTCATTTTTGATCACTGGAGACAGTCACTTTTGTATGGAGCCCATCAAGTTGAATGTCCAGCAGAATTTCTCAGTTTGTTGTAATACGCGCCGAGTCCTAACCACTGACGACCACTGTCGAGGCAGGTAACATATCTCTGTTTCTAACTCAGGGATACGTTTTCGAACACAGTATTGGGGGGTAATGCAGGAGTAGTTTGTTGCCAAATAACTTATCAATTTATTTAAGCCAGAATATTTTCATTAGTTGGATCATTTACCATACGGTGAATTAAAAGATATTAGCATTTTGGAATATGTTTGTTCAGCCTAATAATCTCTCTAATGAAACAGGAATCATTCTTTTCAAAAGAATGAATTTTCATGATGTTTCGCGTAAAATATATTCCAAATCAGAGCCGTTACTTTCAAACTACTACAAATTTTATCGCAACACTCAAGGTTACGCAAATTCAAACGGTGATAGAAGAAAACTAGGAACATAGAAGCGGGAGATAAAGTCAGGACTGAATTCACATTAGTCATAGCCGTCAACATACAAGTATGATATTGCAAACTGAAATGTAGTTCCAAAATGAGAGTGATGTTGCACGAGTTTGGTCAACATCTATACACATACATATATATTTCCCTGTAAACACACGACCAGTTTTGCGGTTCTTGCCGCTCATCAGGCATGCGTATCCGGTAATCTGTTATCAGTTTATTCATATACTTGTACCCAGGGAGTGTATTTTCGTCACAAC